TTAGACCAGGTGTGCTACTGTCCCTGCTGGAAGAGAGAAGGGAAGATGAGAACTCTTATCTTTATTGGCACACAGTATTACAAATCATCTCCTTCAGCAAAGGTGTGCTGAATTGTCTACCAGAAATTCATGTATTTTTGTGTACTGTCCAGTAGAGCTTTGCACTGAATAAATAATTAGTGGGTTGCTCTCACACATCTTAAAAAATACAACCTCTTGTTGTGTAAAGTGTGTTCTGCCTGACTCAGTAGCGTCCTGGGATGCCAGACCTAGGCAAACTGTTCAAGGCTGTAGGTGTTTGATTTCCACTGGTTTATCTTTAAGTAGTCCCTTAATCTGTTAGTTTGACCAGGTGGCTGCAGGGGAGTGAGGGATGATGTTGGATTTCAGTTTATCCTACAGGAACAGCAAATGGCTACTTTTAGAAATGCTGCTTGTTGGGCTTTTGACCAGGTTCCAGGTTCTTTGGTGGATTTGTCTTTGGCTTTTTGATGATTGCAGCAATGGCCTCCAGGAGCCCTCTCGTAACAAGAGCTTTGCAGTGTCGTTCTGCATCCAGTGGTGCTGTTCGTGAGGCTTGGCTTGTGCTCTTCAGGAAACTCTGCCAATCAAGGGTGGCATTCTGAACAAAGCTTATGTTTCATTTCTGTATTTTTGGTTTATCTCAATCTCTGTGCAGCTAGAGAGATACAAACATCTTGCTATCACGCCGGTGTCTGAGCAAAGTCTTTTGCCGCAGATTTCCTTCAGGAAGTAAATGACGTTGCCAGTTGTTGCCTAGTCTTGCGTAAGCATCTTTCTCAACCTTTGCCAAGTAGGAGGGACTTCTGGCTGCTGTGCCAGACTGTGTCAAGCAGAGATCCCTCTTGGAGATCAGTCTAACTGGACACCAGTAATTCAGGTTACAGACTGCAGGCTACAGCACAAAACTATGGCATCTACTTAAGTCACGGTAACATTAAAACATGAGGGTATTCTCAGCATGTGTAGCTGGTGGCTTGACCTGGTGGTTTATACAGGTTCTGCCTCAGTGATTGCCAGAGAATAAACAGTATTGAGTCTGTACATGCTTTGCCTGGCATTAGCCCCCGGGGTCACTGCTAGTGCACCTGCAGTTGCTAGTGATTCGAATCAAGTGGTGAGGTTGTTTTCTTCAAACCTGCTTATTAGAACTTGTGTTACTTAGTAAAACCTGTTGCTGTTCAAGATTCTTCTGCTTTTTTTCCAGGAGGTAATACTCGTGCCATAGGTATGACTCTGCAGTATAAGGTGCCAGGATCAGAGGAGCTAACGCAGATGAAATTTACAGCCTGTGAAGATTTCAGCTGTAACAAGAAGCTGTCAGCAAGCTGGCTGGCAGCCATGCATAAGGTGAGCACAGGAGGCTGCACTTGGGAAATCTGAGAAAAAAACCCTCCAAGTTGGGTGCTTAGTAGCTGTCAAGAGAGTATGCAGCCTTAGGAGCCTCTTATTTTTTACATAAGGATTTTAGGGCCTTGTTGCATAAGAAAACAGAGGCTGTGGGTGGTTGTTATGAACATGACTATAGTGTTATGCTCGGATACCTGGAGAAGATAAGCACTGCAAATGTTTTCCCAAGATCTTATGTATGTCGTTAGGTGTAAAGAAGGTAGGAATTAGACTGTCAAGTTCCTTAGGTTTTTCTTACTCACTGCAGGATGTGCATTATGAAATAGTCTCTTGAATCTAAACTCAGGTAATTGTTTTCACTGCTTTATGAAGGTTCAGAGAAGTTGTTGATGTTTGAGAACTGGAGTGGAGACAGGGCCCTGTGGAAGACTGTTTCATCTTTTGCTGTTAGGCACTGAATGGCTAATGAAACTGAAGTTTATTATTTCGTAAGTCACAGTTACGGGAGACAAAACCCAAAACCACTCCAACTAGTTCTGGAAATTTCTTCATCTGACTGATAATTAGAACTGTAATTTACAAGCTGTCTGCAAATGCAGGTGTGCGGCTGTTTGCTTCTTTACCAGCATTAAGCTTACCAGCCCCCCCTAACCCCAGCATCTGTGTTCAGCACAGCACACTCAGACTCTGTGTTGCCCTGTGAGTATCATTCAGCATTTCCTTAAATCTGTTCTCACTCATCTTACACAGGGAATGCAGCTGCTACAAATATTATGAGAACCAGTATTCTATGGATAAGCTGAACAGCCTCCCACACTGGTTTTGTCTCCTTTGACAAGAGTTTTGAGTAACTGATCAGTGAGACTTTCCGTGGTCCTAGTTAACAGCATGTGAAAACGACTTGATGGTAGAGAATGCACCTTTGTTCCCAGCACAGGGGGTTGCTTGATCCTGTAGTTTGAGACAAGTGGAACATCTCACCAAAACTTTGCAAGGGGGAAGCAGAAGGAGCTAGGAGAAATATAGAACAGAATAACACTGTTTACTGTATATGTTTAGAAGGGTTACTGAAATCTCAGAAATACTACTTCTGACTTTTTCCTTAGAGTAACTAAATAGCAGAGGAAGAACTTTAAACCTTGGGTTTAAAGGAAATTTTTGGAGGGGTAGGATGGAGATGAGGTGGCTGCAAGTGAAACGAGTTAATAAAGTGACATTTGTCTTCACGTCAGGCAACAAAACTTCTGTACGAGTCCCGGGACCAGTGAGAACAGCACTCTTGGCCACTTGAAGGAAGGAAGACACCAGCCCCCATGGACCTGCCTCTCACTCTTTGCTAATTCGACAGCTGGTAACATTTGCTGTTCCTGACCTTTCTCATTCCAGTGCAGTTCATTGTGTAAGAACTGGCAAATGCAATGTGAGTATTTTCTGAACCATGAGTATTCACTATAGTGTGCAATATGTATACAATTAATGCTTTAAACAGCCTCACCTTTTAAGACTTTGTATATTTTGTTAAAGCCTTTATTGGCACTTAATATGAAAGTGACCTGCACTACAGCTAATGTACAGCACAACTTTTTTAGTAACAATTATATATACTGTTTGCTGAAAAAGCAAACAAATGTGTATGTCTCTTCTGCAGAGAATAGCTTTTGGGTATAGATCTCAGGTTTCTCCCTCTATCCAAATGTTTTAAATCAATGTATAATAAAAATATCTGCCTTAGATATGATTTTATAGGAGTCACTTGGATTTTTTTAAACATTTCATTTTTAACATCAGAAGATTTCAACAAATATCACCAAATTTGACTTAATATGGACATGATCATGAAACCTTCCCTCTGTAATAAATAAGCTTCCAGAATAATTCTTAGTTTTGTATTTTCTTTTTGGTAAGTAGCTTTTGTTAATCTAACTGTAATGCTCTCTGAAATTATATACCATTTAATGTACAAATATGAATAAATTAATTCACTTATTTAAAAAAAAGAGGTGATACTTAATTTCACAATATGTAATGTCTTTAATGATGGATACTCTATGGTCTCTAAAGTCTGAAACATTGGGTTTCTTATAAACAGCACCCTAATTTTAGTTAAGTGTTGATAATTTGTTCAACTATTGGGATGAATCCTCTGGCTGGACATGTTGAGCCAAGAGTCTTTGTGCCTTCTCTTTTTCTCCACTGGTAACAATTGAGTGAAGGAGCACAGGAAGCTCAGCTGCCAGCTTGTGTGTAAAGCACCCTGGAGAGCATTTCCAGGCAAGTATTAATTTGTCACAGCTGGAATACCAAAGAACTGGCCTAAGGAGGTTCCAGAATTGTTTGGCAAATCATTTTCTGTGTGGCTGGCAAAACAAGGAGGAAACCTGAGTTAACAGAACACAGCAAGCTAGAAATACTTTTTTTTTTTTTTTTGTAGACTGTGACCAAAGGCACATCTTCTGTTGCTGCCTATATAAGAATACTGGAGAATGCAGCCATGCCTTAGCAGTACTTTATTGTGCACATTTACATGTTCTCTGAATTAGTGTATCATAGGCTCTTGAAATCATCACATTCATGTAGCAAATTCTTCAACAATAATACCCTTTCACTTTTCACCACAATATATACAGTTTAATGCTAGCCTGTGGTAAAAGCAAGTTACAGCACTGCAGAAATGGATATATAAATTATACACAGAACTTGTACATGAAGAATTAATCAAATTGCATACTGTTAAATGGGAGAAAATTACAAGAAATATGGCTAAAACTTATAATGGGAAATTCAAAATATACTTTTGCTATATAAAATCATGTACAATTAAAATTCCAGTGAAGTGCTTTTTTTTTTTTCCTTTTTCTTGAAACTACAATCTAGTGGAATAGGTTATTGCATAACTTGCCTTGGCAACAGATGTAGGTTGCCAAGAACCACAGAAACTGTCCTCAAATAAGCTATTGCCTTTCTTAAATCCTTCTCTAGACCTTGTTTCTTTCTTCTCCTTGACTCAGCATCTACACAACCCTCTTTCTACTTCTATCCAGTCCTTCATGTTTTCTTCTAGACTGACTCAGGCAAACTTCAGATTACACAGTGTACCCTTCACCAGACTCTTACCCTTCTCAACTATTGCACTTTCATCCATGCAGACATACAAATCCCTTAAGCTGCTGCAAGTTCAGTACTGACTGTTTTGTCCAGGAGGGACGAGCTCAGGTGGTTAGTAGGGGAACCTTTACATTAGTAGAGGTAATACTGGTGCTGTGGGCTGAATAAGAAAATAAAACACCAAGTGAATTATCATGTAGGGGTTTTGAGAAGTGTAAAAACACTGTTGTTTTTTTGTTAGTTCTCTAGCTTGATTCTAAATGCAAATAATACTAGAAGCTAGACTATGTAAAGCTTTTGTTGGGGTTGTCTAGACTAGGATTTAAGTGTAGAGCATGTTACCCCTTTAAATCCTAGCCTTCATAAAGCTTTGGTGCATGTTAACAGGTGAAGTTCTTGTGTCCTAGAAACCAAAGAGTTGATGAGTAATGAGAACTCAACATTCACTGGTATCAAACTAAATACCCAAAATCCTGACATGGGACAGTTACTGTGGGGTGGGAGCAAACTGGACAGTGGATCTGCACTCTGCAAGTGACACCTCTGAACATTGAACACAAGAAAGCTCCTACCATGGAACTTCAACTGAAAACACCGCTTGAGACAAGAGCTGGTGCATCACTGGAGCTAGTGGAGATCAACTCTCCTCATCAGTGGTGGGTCACATAAAAATTCTCATTTACAAACTGCAGAAAATCCCAGATGCTGTCCATTTAACAAGAGAAAGCACCATTAAAACTAAATGTCAGTTTTATTTCTCTGTATGAAATGCTCAGAAATGATGGCTCCAGTGTATGTTGTAGGATTCCAGTTACCAGCACGGTACTGCACTGCTGCAGAACTGAACTCAAGCCAGGGTCCGCTGCCTAGGTTTTATTCGTGGATATAACTGTGAAAACAGAATCAAAAGATTAGGCTGTGCATGGTTGAGAGCAAGTTAAATAAAAATCAATTCAATTATAACTAAGGGGTACTTGTTGATAAGAACTGGGTGATGAAGAATTGGGGGGTGGGTGTAAGGATTTGTCAGGTACAGCATGTTCTTAGGTAAAAAAATTAAACCAGAAGCATCAAGAGGCCAAGACTGACACATTCCTGGCAGCAGCTGCAAAATTGCTGCTCTGAAATGTACTTGGTTCATTTAACACAAGATGTCAGACTAGATCAAAGGATGCTTTTGTGTAAGTACAAGAATTGCCCATCAAGCCCTAGAGAGAGCTCATTTCCTGCTCTCTAAGGTTTTCTTAGTGCATTTTTGTCCTCTGTATCTCTCTAGAAGCCTTAAATTCCTGATTTCTCAGGACAGCAGTCTTCCATTCGAGTGAGAGCAGTAGAGGAGTGCACATCTTCATGGCTCTGTCCTATTTGTACTATATAGACACTGCTTATCTTCTGCCAGGTATTAAAAACTTTCCTAGAGAACTTCCTGGGGGAACCCTCTGAGCTGCCCCATACAGCCAACACACTTCACAGAGAGGGCCTACTTTCTAGCCAAGGGCAAAAAATCTTTAATAAAAGATTAAAGCATAAATTAAATTAAATATACTATTTTGCCAAGTAAAAGCCAGCACTAATGTCCTACCCAAAGCCTCTTCTTTTTCTTTACAATGACACAGGCCAGAGAGAATACAGATAATCTGCTTTGCAGAACTCCCTAGCAGTGCATCCAGATGACGCACAGAGGGGATTCTGGCCAAAGATCCATCTTGCCTTCCTACTTCAGGAGGAAGTAAAAAACAGAAGGGAGAAGGTAACTTCAAAAAGACCTTACCCCAAGAAGGTTTTTAGGCACGTAGCCTTCTTTCTCATTGAGGCGGGCCCACCACCACTCGGTCTCATTGTCGTCCTTGCGCCTCAGGATGGTGATGGCGTCGCCCTCGTGGAAGGACAGCTCGTCGTTGTTCTGGGCTTCATAATCCCACAGCGCGTACACCACACCCTTGTTCATCACTCCCAGCTTCTCCTGCACTCCTGTGAGCAACCAGGGAACATGCTAGATGGTAAACCATCCTATTTTCCCCTCTGAGACTTTTAGTGTGGACGCTGTGGCCTAAATATTAGTCTCTTACTAATAACATTCCAGAAACAATTTTCAGCCCTTCCATAATGAGATGCTTTCAGAAATTTAACTGACTGATATAAACAAAGTTTAGGGAACATTTTAAACCAATTAAGAGCACGAGGTTTTTCTCTTCTGTTATGTCTGCAACAGAAGCTTTACAATCTTTTATTCAAATGAGTATAAATTGTTCAAGTCAAGCATCTTTATAGAACTGCTGTATTTTCCTCACAGGCCTGGTTTCTACAGCAACACTTGAAGCTTTTGAAAGTCTGCACAGTGTCAGGTACATAGAGCTTTAATGAATCATATCCTCAGATGCAAATTAAAAATGTCTGCTCCATCAAGGTACTTTTCTTGCAAAACAGATCTTGGAAACCACATTCTCTAAGTTAATTATTCATCAAGTACATGTTTCTTCATGTGATCTGCTAGAAACTCGTGCATCTGGGAGTTGCAGTATCTCTGTGAAGATACTTGACGATTCACTGTTACTGTCAAAACCTCCCTGTGGAAGCATTTTCTTGAAATTAAGCCAAGTAAAACTTTAAAAATCTGTAATATGAGAAGGAGCCTGTGAAGTAACTTGGAGAACAGAAGGACTGTGAGCAACATAATAATGAAAAGAGAATTCTGTTCTTAGTATTTTGGAAGAACTTGTGTTGGGCTGCATTGTGAAGTTGGGCCTAAGCAGATGTTTCATGAGGATCAAAGGGATGAATTCTAGAAAAGCTAAAAAAGTTTGTAAAGGAGTGTCATAGCTCACCATACAAGAACTGGGAACACTGAATATAACCTTCTTCCATCTCCTCACACTTGTCTGCAGCAGTTTCTATATCACTTATAGTTGAAGCAAAAATAGCTGCCCCGGATTCAACAAGTAGTTTACACAGATGAACACTATTGCAAGAAGCAGCACAATGCAAGGGTGTCCTGAAATAAAGCAAAAATGTAGGCATGAAAAAAAAAACACTATTTTGTCTTGCAATATAGAGTTTAGCCTGTCTGTTTTTAAAGGAAACTGTTCTTTATAGTATTATATGTATGGATTGTCCAAAACACGTCAAACAGCTGGAATGGATTCCAGGATTTACCTGAGTCCAGTAAAGCCAAACATTATAAAATAGATGGTAGGAAAAATGCTGGTTTTCATAGCTTACAAACTGCTGGGTATAAGAGGGTATTTTTCCATATCAGGAAATTTGAAGGTTAAAAACAAAGGGAGGGTAAAACAGATCAGCACAGCAAGATTTTACATGCCCTCCAAATGCTTTAGAAGTGCCACATCTACCTGTAAAGCAGATTCTTTAAGAACACCAAAATGTGTGGTGGGTTATATGAAGATGAAACTGGAACAAATTAACTTACGTCATTTGTTATTTACAGTTTAATTATTTTGGCATTTGAACAAGAAATGCAATTATACCACTAAGTAAACTAAAATGTGGTATCCTTCATGATTTAAGTGTGCCTGCACATGAGCTGAACACAGGGTAACCTTGCACTGGAGTTCATTAGCACCCAGAGATTAGAAAGTGCTCATTTGTAAGGGGTAAAAAAGAAGGAAATTGTTCCCAAAACAGGTCTCGACTATATTTTGAATGTGCATCAAAATGGTGTTTCTCCCCAGATGTTAAGTTCTGTAATAACGAGATTAAGTAATCATGACACTTACCACCCATCACTATCTGCTGCATTTACATTCACACCAAAATCAAGCAGGAACTTGACAATGTGGTGATGTCCAGCACACACTGCATTATGCAAAGGCGTAATTCCCTCATCATTTGGTTTACTGGGATCATCAACCTATGAAAACATTAAAAAGTTCAGTGTTTTTCCCCCACCCCTAAATATTTGAAGAGATTGCCTTTGTTTAGAAGCTCACCTCATAGATGATTCGTTGTACAAGATCAAACTCTCCCTCCAAAGAAGCATCTAGGAGGAGGGCCAAGGGATTGAACTTCACTCGCAAACCATGGCCTGTTCTTTCTGAGTTAGGTTTCTTCAAGTTGGTACGTTTTGTCTGAGTAGAGATGAAGGTTGTAAGGCATCAATTCAGGTTGCATGAGTATTATAAATTACTCAGTTACTTCTTTGCTAGATTAAGAATCCCGTCCAACTAAAGTGGTAATTAGAACTATGCAAACATTTCTATGATGAAGTCCCTAAACAAGAGGCTTGATATCTTACCATGTCTTAGTTAAAAAATGAAGAAGTGTACCAATGTAATTTAGAAACTTCTAACTAAAGCTAGTGAGTACAAGGAACAAAGTATCACTATCTTAATTATATTAGTAAAAGCTGAATGTGTTTCTGGTTGATTGTCTGAAGACACTGTCGGAACTTTTGCTTAAACTAGAAAGGACGACAAAATTAAGCCCAAGTATCAGTCTCTGCTTGGAGGAATCTTTGCCATGCATTGGCAGAAGTATCTTCTGTAGGTCAGTACTGACAAGTTAAGGGTTCTGTTGTCATAGAATCATAGAATTGTTAGGGTTGGAAGGGACCTCAAGGATCACTGTAGTTCCAACCCCCCTGCATAGACAGGGACACTTCCCACTAGACCAGGTTGCTCCAAGCCCCATCCAACCTGCCCACGAACACTGCCAGGGATGGAGCATCCAGAGCATCTCTGGGCAACCAGTTCCAGTGGGAAAGAAAAGTACAGAACATGAAGCTATTTTATCTGATGTTCCAGCTAGTATTAGAAGAAGCATTCTCAAGATCTGAAACACATTAAAAATGTGTTTTGAGAATATTCTGAATCTCACACACATGTCTGTGTCAGTTTCCAGAAGAAAAAAAAAATAAAAAAATCTACTCTTAATTACAGCTTTTATAGAATGCTCTTAGTCTCTTGCACTATAAGATCTATTTTCATTTGTGCTCCTATTTTTTCCACTGACATAGCTTGCCCTTAGTTTCATACAATTATCTTTTGTAGACCTGGGGAAGTGAAACAAACTTTTTTAATGGAGTCTCAGATTCCAGAATTAGTTCTACAGTAAGACTATCTCTCAAAAAAAGATCTACAATCTGAAGTACATACACAGCCTTCTGTTGCCTGTATGCATATTTTCTGTATTATAAACAGCTACACTAACAAACTAATCCATCAGAGTTCTCCTTGGAGCTCCCCTGGTTTTCTTTTCTTTTGGTGTCCTGAAACTCGAAGTGCAAACATACCATTCAGCACAGTGCTACCATCTTCCAGTTATGCTTGAACACACCAAATTCTATAGTTCACAAAACTGTCTTTTTGCTTGTAACTTACTGCAGGAAGTGGAGGAGGAAGAGCAGGTGGCAAAGGAGCTTCATCTTCTACTGGAGAACTGACTTCAGGTGTGGGGCTGGGTGACTGTTCAGTAGAAGGAACTACAGCAGGATTGTTGTTGTTATCTTCGGTTGTCTCAGATGTTTGATTTGTGGTTTCAGTGCTTATCAATTCCTCAGTAGCAGGAGAAGGTAATTCATTATCATTGGCATCTGATGAAGGGGGTGGCTCATCAGGAAGAGGAACTGTAGGTTGCACAGAAATAGGTTCTTCAATATTGCCATTGGTACTAGCGTTACCATTATCGACATCAGCTAAGATGCCTATGAAGTCCTGTGGATTGCTTGGCTGATAAAAAGGAGCACTTTCTATTCCTCCAGCAAGAGTATTAAAGCGCTGATACAGTAACTTTTGTATATTGGGTCCACTTGGGCCTTCTGGTTCAGTGATAGAACTACGCTTCTTCAGTGGCCTAGGAGCATTGGCCAATTTTCTTCTCAGAGCTTCAAGGTCAGCATCGCTTTGATACCGTAGGGGTGAATGCACAATAGGTGTGAGCTTAGTAGGACTGAGAGGACGAGGGATGTTTTCCACGTTGCTGTTTTCACTGGGTGGTGGAGCATTTTCAAGCTCTTGATCTTTTTCAGACACCTCAGTCTGAGGCTGAGATTGTGGCTGCGAGGAAGGCTGGGCAGGCAAAGAACCATGAAGGAATGGCAAGGGTGAGGGAGAAGTTGAACCAGATTGTAACACAGGTTTTCCATAAACTGAAGAAAAGAAAGACGGAAAGCAGTGAGGAACTGTTCTCAAACTATGTAATAAACCACCTGCAAATAACTTGTGTTCATGCAAATAAGCTCTTGCTACTTCTTTGACACTAACACAGAAAGAAAAATTAATTATTGTATTGGAACCTATCAAAACAGAAATAAATACTCACATGTTGCTGATGGTGATGCTTCTTAAAATTAAAAGCTACAACTAATACCTGGAATGTTTTTTTCTCTTTCATGAGATAACGGTATGAGGTGAAAAACCTCTCCTCTCTGGACACTGTTTTTTTCAACTTATTTCTGAAAGTATTGGTAGAGTATCCAGACTGCATTGCTCTAATTGCATCTTGTTTTAAATAAAAGGTAATCGAATATATATTTATTTATCACCACAAAAAATATATGGGATCTTTTTTCTGCCACACTGCATACAGAAAATTTAGACTGGTTTTTCAAAGTGATATGGAAAGTAAACTAAGCCCAGTACACAGATCTTAATGGTCTATTTCAAGGGAAAAAATAAAACAAAATATATTCTACCTGCTTTTACTGACTTATTTAAAGTATTGTACACAGCTTGTTGATAATTCTTTGGTGGTGTTGCTTGCTGAAGATACATTGAGTAGATGGAACTGGAGTTCACTGTTTGTGGCCCTTTTCTGGGAGACTGAGGTCTTGATCCTTTATCAGCTAGAAAAGGTCTGATTGCCACAGTTAAAGGGAGTTCTGGCCTGCCATCTCCTCCTGGAAACAAGGGGGGACCGGAAGGTTGATACGTGGGGCTGGGAGGTACAGAAATTCTCTGCTGAATCTGTTGTGAAGAGCTGGGCTGATGGACGTTGCTGGGCGGCGGAAGCGGAACAGGTCTTTGCCGATTTGTTATACTGGTGCCAGGTCTGGGCAGACTGCCATCCTTCCTTCTTTCCAGAGAATTTGTAGAACCTGTTCCTAAGGGAACTGGGCTTGGATAGGTCCCATAGTTTTGAGTCAACTGCTTGCTTACACCAGGAATTGTTGGCGGCACCTTCCCCAGGTCAAGACCCTGTGTAAAAACAATAATGAGTAAACATAATGTAATTAAATAAAATACTTGTGAGCAAAAACATTCCTAATTAAGGGAAACATACTAATAATCTTGTATGATAGTCAAATGTAAACAGTGATCCTTATCCACTAGATAGGAAAGAATTCACTAGAATGAATAAATTCCACTTGAATTTATCACAAGACTTCACCATGCCTGACACAGAGGCCACTGTTGAAAGGCATCTTCAGCTACAATACATTAATATCAATCCAGAAGTATCTGCATACTATCAAAGCCTGAATAACTTGTTCTCAGTATCTATTTATAATGTATTTGATAATGCACAGTGTGATAACAGAGTTTACCAAAACCCTTTAGAGACAAGGTCCTTATTCTTTAAAGATACAGTCTTAAAAGAATTCAAAGTACTACCAGAACAACAGAGCAGACAGACACCACCAGTGCACTCACTCAAGGATGGATTTAATGACTTACTTTGTGAGAAAGAGTGCATTCAAAAAGTAATAATCTACACCAAGGAAAAATAGTAAAGATTTGAATTAGAAAAATAGGAAGGTGGGAGAGATGTTCAGGATAAGCAAAGAGAGAGAAAAGGGGAGATCAGTTATGTAAAAGAACAGGAAGGGATACAAACTACTGACATTGAAAAAGAATAATAAATGGTAATGTGATAAGAACAGAAAGGAAGAGAAAGAATACAAAAGTAACTTTCTTTATTACTTTAAAAATAATAATTGGCAGGAAAACCAAATGTAACTGAAGTGACAGCTACAGAAGCTAAAAGTTCATAATTTCAACAAGACAGTTCTATAAATATATCACAAATGAAACCCACCAGCTTATCACTACTTCCTAATACTGAAGTTGGCAAAGGCTGGCTGGATATAGTTCCTTGTTTTAAAGCAGTATCCATGCTTGATTCTTTCCAGTCTGTATTGGAGATCTGAGGGGTTTTTACCACAGGGGTTGAGCTCTGTTTAAGTATTGGCCAATTTCCATCATTAGCTTGAAAACAGAAAAAATTAATTAAGAAAATCCATACCACCACTGTAAACAAGCACAACAGCATACAAAATGGAACAGCTTAGATTACAACAGGATCAATTTTATTTCAGAAATGATATAAATCACTATGTTTGATTCAGAAATCATACTGAAAGCCCAGTCACTGCATAAAATATGTTGTTCATTACACTTTGACATTCAAACTGTATTGAAATTTTCTATAGGAAAAAAGTCGGTTAAAATTCTGCTCTGTGTTGCATATTCTACTATTCAAAAGGCAAACAAGTTCAGAACACAAAATCCTTACAGAAACACTTCATCAACATGTTTCTTTTGGTACTATGCAGAGATATTATCAAGTTCTGCTAAATGTTAAGGCTACGTAAGATCTGAGTGGACTTACTCCAAATATAAACTATGGTTACTAGGTTAATTCACTCATAACAGGATGTAAAAGCTCATTTCCACAGTGGGGTGGAACAAAAGCATACGTTCTTTTGCTTGGCAGTTCACTTACCTTTTGTTTTTCCTCAACACAGTTACCTGATTAAAATTGCCTCAGAGATTCAACATTAAAGAAATTTAGAATGTCAACTAACAACTTCAACTCACAGTGTCAAGATACAAGTCAAGAACTTTTATCTTTATCATATGCAAAAATCATGCATGGCTGCACATAAACTGAGGCAACAAATCCTTAATGAAGTCCTGATGCATTGATATGTTACTTTATGAACTGTATGAGACTATTTCCTGCTCTTTAAGTAAGCATGAAAGTTTTAATAGCCTGATAATTAGATCTGTTTTACAGTAACTAAACAGATCCCTGGTTAGATCCTAAGGCTTTGATTTACCTTTAAAAGATTAAACTTGAGGCTTCTCTTACTCTAAGGAGACCAGAGATAATTTCTTCTTCCCTACTGCCTTTAGTGCAGCACTTAGGACCAGTAAAGATGACACACAGCACAAAAGTAACTTTATTGGAGGACAGCAACCACTGGAGTTGGATTTGTGTGTGTGGAGATTTACTAAGATTTCTGGACCCCACAGAAAGAAAACATCAAATGAAAATGGGGTATTTAATGGCAAAGTTTCCCATTTCATTTCAGTTTTAAGCTTCTAGAAAACGGAATCAGCCAGACTATTTCTAGAATTCTTTGCCATCCTCTGTCTAGTATAGCAGACAGTCTAAGAATAAGCTGAATAAAAACATTCTAATAACAGTGAATTTAGCATCACCACTCTACTTTCTATCCATAAGCCTCATCTTTATTGAGTATCCACCCCTTTTCTTCCCCTCCATGGAAAGGACAACCTGAGGATTTGTTGACAGTGATCTCCTCTTTTCACTATGTGAGTGCAAATTCACTCCTTTAGCTCATAAACCTATCTGTAGGCTTGTTAAAAAAAATCACTTTTATGTAAGCAAAAAATAAGAAGTGTACACCACCATACTAACTATTTTTCAATTGTATGTGCAGACCATTCCTTAATAACACCCACACGATATTGTATTAGCCTTTCAAATTCAGATCAACTGTGTTTGAATTCTGAGAGATAATTACTTTGTAGCACGAATATTTTTGTGGTTGGTCATTTAAACAGGGTTAATACTTGAATATTTTTACACTAACAGTGTAGTACATTGTCCAGAAATTACTTTTCACACTTGCAAACTGCCAAGAAGTAAACTAACGAAGTCCAGCTTTAGTACTGGCAACTGCTGGGTTTTTCTTTTTGTTTTTAATCATCTGGTTATCACGAGCAAGACAAAAAGAGATGACTTTCTAAACACTAATGGCAAATTTCCCAAGTATGCAGTGAATTAATGTTTGCTGTATAAAATACAATATGTTCCATAACTCCTGTAAGGTTATGGTTCAGTAAATATTTTGTTTTGAAGATCAGTAAAAGGTGTTATAACTGAGTCATGCTAAACATGAAAGCATCTTTGCCATAAGTTTAGCTATTAAGAAAGCACTTACAGAAACAATAGCAAAATCCTGAAGAATTCAATTATCTTACCTGCAAATACAAGCCCACACTCTTCTATTAGAAATACAGTTATACAAGAACTTTTTGTAATCCTTTGAATTCCACATATTAGCACGTTTTTTCCCAGATTCTAAGGTAAAGACTGGAAGGAAATTCAAACCCTTTCTCCCCTCTCTAACTTCTCTGTTTCATTCTACCTACATAAACATCAGAATCTAACTGTCCCCACCTTCATGTCTTTCCTTTTACAATCTGGCAGACCTGCCAACAATCATGCATTTTTTATGAGTGCACCTCTCACGTACTCCCCCTACTCCAGCTGAATCTCATGCCCTTACCTAAGCTGTTGTTGCAATCTGCAGCTGCAGCACGTGGTGCCAGAACCTGCACAATAGGTGCTACGAGGAAGCAGCCAAACAGCCTCTGCCTTCTGCTATCTGAGGTCCCAGGCTCTCTTGCCCATCTGATGGCAACGCCCTTGCAACAAGCCCTCACTAGCTCCTGCTCCCAGCCACCCCGTGGCCATTTCAGCCAATTGGTTGCACTTTCCTCCAAATGTGCCTCCTTGTCTGCTGCCTGCAAGACTAACTAACACTCTGGGGATTTCGACTCACATCAGTCCATTTTGTGTTTACATAAATAAGACAAGAACATGCAGACACAAAAGGTTTTGGGCACTTTCTCTGATTATAGTTTAAAATTTTTCTAGGTCTGGATCCAGGTTACTATAGCAACTGAAGCACAAACCACACATAACATTTTTGTTGAATGGAAGTCAGCAAGACTCTTGCTATTAACTTGGACACAGCGAGCTTTCATCCCAACTGTAGGACCACGGCAACATGGATACTCAAAGTTTCCCACAAAGTTACTCAAGCTAAACTTGTAGATAACATACCTATCTGAGATATACTAAAACATGCTTTGGAGATTACAATGAATTTTCTCATAACAGTTAGAAAATGTCAAGTTTCTTCATTGAAGAAAACTCATCCCAGGTACACTACTCCAGGACTTCAGGGATGAATTTGCTGCAAATCTGTTTCTTTTGAAGATGAAAAGCAACTTTTCAACAATTTTACATTTCAACAGCATCTTCTGCATGCCAGATCACAACACAAGCTCTGAAGATGCTGTTTAATATGCATCTGTATGCAAGAGCTCAGATGACCATATTAAAAACTGAGTTCTTAGCTAGCCAGAGATCTTCTGCAGACTCACAGTGTTGGGTGTCAAAGACAGTAGGTGCCAGGCGGATGACATTGTGAACAGCAGACTGAAGAGAAGTGGGAGGTGACAGAATAGGATCCACTATAATGTCTAAATCAGAAACCTTCCAGGTGTCTGGAGATTTTTTCACACACCCACAGTCTGTCTCTACCGGACACACCAAGGCAGATCCAGTTACACAGAAAAAGAAAGAAAAAAAGTGGTGGAAAAATTATAACAATGACAATGGAGAAATTAGAACAGGAACACTCAGATAATGAGAAATAAAAGCACGACAGTAGAAAAAAAATAAAACCCACACAATTTCTTTTCTTTCTGTGACCATAGGTTTCTCCTCACAAATTTATCTTATAGGACTTTATTCAAGTACAGTCACATAATAGACACAAAGTCAGTCCTAAGGTAAAATAATTACTTTTATAAAATCAGAAAATTATAATTCAGGTATCTTGTAACCTCCTGAAGTTATGTCTAGAAGTGGGTATGTGTATCTTCTGAGGCTGATTATTTACAAAATTGTGATTTCTGCTTAGTGAACTTAAAAGTCATGAGCTGTCCTTTCCCATACGTGGAAGAGGAATCCACACATCTGAAAATGAAACTATTGCAAATCTGTCACTTCATCCCAATTAATTCATTCCATATTCTTAAAACCTTTCCATAAAACCACACTGTTGGGCTTTGTACAGCCTTTGAATTAAACTAAAGGTACTGGTAAATCACTAATTTCAATACAAAACATTTGAGGTTTTTTAAGCTCTGTTTAGATAGCTTCACTTCCTGAACTTGGGGTTTTTTTGGGGAGATATTTCTGTCAATCTTTCCTAGAGAGTGAACT